AAGCATGATTCAATTTACATTAACTTGCTCTGTTACGCAAAACAGCCTGAAAGGAATGACCAGATTAGAGGGATTTTAAAACCTCAATCTCATCAATTATTGCTTTGGAAAATTTGATTAACGACCTTGATCCTCTCAGAAGGCCATGGAAAATCAAACATCAGCAGAGAAAGGGAAACAGATGGCATCTTCTGTGGACTCAAGCATGGAACGTGTCTTTGTTGAGGACATCACAGACAGCAGCCATACTGACTCTGAAACAGAGACAATCATTCCCCTAGATGAGTGCGCACCACATCCCATCATAGATATGGACCAGGTGGTCATGGACAGCTTGGGGCAGCTTTTTGAACACTGCATCCAGCAAGTGTCCCATCTAGAGATGCAGAGGAATGAGCTGATCCAAGAGCTCCTCGGTCTGCAGGAACCAATGCTGCGGGTCGTGGAGCACCTGAGAGGGAAGCTGGTGGAGACGCAGAGGCTGCTTACTCTGGCTCAGCTGGATTATGTTGCTGTTTATGAAGAAGTGCAGCAGGTAAAGAGGAAACTGTTTACCACAGCCAGAGACTGCATCCAGAGCCAGGTGACACTGGCGGCAAACGAGTATGAGGTGGCTCAGTCTGCTGTTACACAGGTAGAACCCGCATGACTCACAACACCTAGAGGATTGATTTAATGTGGCAGATTATATCAGATAATTGTCTTTTGTTCTGCAGTTTCAGGGATGTTCCTTTTTCATATCTATCACCTACTGTAAGTTAATCCTTTTATCTTAATTTGTCCTAAGTGGACAATCGGTCCTTCAGCAAATACTAAAACATACAAACAGAAAGTTATTGTGTGCAACAAACAGCAGTCAACAATACAATCAGATGTATCATAAATGATTGAATTAATGAAACTGAGAAAGTGAAATCAGTTTGACAAAAGATAACATAATATGTTGTAGACTATGTATAAATTTTCTTAGCAACATTTTCTTTATTTGTAATGCTGTTTAAAATGTAATTGTGACTAATTACACACCTTTCATTGCTCACTTATAATTGTCACATACATAGAACAAATACTAAGACCCACAGGAATCATAAATAAAACTGCTATCAAGAACCAAAATGAGTGTTTACTTATTTAATTAAAGGCTGTAAAATTAAAAAACAGTACAAATCATGTATGGGGTGAAAAATAAATTATTATGTATATCGAAAAGAGTAAAATGAGAGAAAGTCATTACTTGAGAGGAATGTGTGTTTAGGAAATCACAAATTATGTAAAAAATTTGTGTTATTGTTAAATTTATTGATTTATAGAACAGCTGTAGAGAGAAACTACATAGGGTACAGTTTAATTAATGATGTAATTCATATATATAAAATGTTGGTGAATTTTGGTATTAAGTAATTGTGTACTATAAAACAGGTTAGCACAATAAGCTGTAGTTTCTGTATCTGTAGCAAATCACTTTACTTTTGTACTTTTGGCACTACATTTGCCCTGTGCTGCTGTGTCAAACTCAAATTTCTCCCACAGGGGACCAATAAGGGAATATCTTATCATATCTTATCTTAAATGAGTATTTGCCTTTTTTTGTGTTATTATTTAATTTAAAAAGAAATATTTCAAATTAAATCTTGAACAAGACAATTGTCTTATCTTATGCTGTTTGTATTTTTCTTTAAGATTTGGTTTACAGTAGGTCAGTTATGCCATTGTTTTGCATGTTTTTATCAATTTTCCCATGCATCCATAGGAGGAGCTCAAAGCCCACATCGAAAACCTGACCCAGGAGTTGTCCCAGCTCCAGGAGGCCTACCAGAACCAGCTAAACTCCCTGAGGGACAAGGCCACTAAGCCCTGCAGGCCCAGGGCCATGAGTGACGTTAGCCAGTGTCGCCAGGCTTCAGTCAGACTGCAGCGGCGACTCAGCGGCAGCGTCAGAGCACTGGAGGGCTGGTACGAGCCTCGACTCGTGGCCCTGCTGAGGAGAAGACAGATTGGCGAGGACGCTTTGAGAAAGAGCAGGGAGCAGGCAGTGGACCTGAAGGCCAGTCTGGGACCCCTGAGAGAGGACGTACAGAGACTGGAGATGCAGAGAGCCTGTCTGGAGCAGAGGATGAATCTGATGGAGAGGGAGAGGGACAAGAGTATCACACAACACAAGGTACAGTGACTAAAGTCAAGTGGGACATAAAAGATGTTTGGTAAAACTAGACCAACTTAGACGTTTCTCCTCTTTGTGCAGGAGACTGTGGAGACATTAAAAGAGACTCTGAGAGAACTGAAAGTGGAGTTTGAGATTCAAAGAAAATCTAAGAACAATTTGGAGGAGCATAAGGAACTCCTTTTAAAAGAGCTGAGATATCTGAGGTAGATATACACTGATCCTGTTACTGTCCAACTTACTATACATTGTGAGTATTAAGAAAATAACTGACATACATCTTCTTTTATAGAGGCTGTGATGAACCCAGTGAAACCTCTGCAGAGGAAGATCCCTGATTTTGTTTCCAGGGATATTCTTAAACTGACTATCTGGACGAAACCAAACCACAGCACTGCATTTAAATTTGTCAATAGTTCATTATTATTATTTATTTGACAAATTAGTCAAATAATTTGCTTCTACAGACTCATTTACTTATCAACTCTTAATATTTTAGAGGAAATTACTTACGTACAAATTACCTGGCATACTGTGTCAAGAAATAAAAACAGATTTACTGTAAATATTTTATTATGAATATATATAAGTACACAAAAGATCAAATGCAGTACAGAAAAACAAACAGTGACAAGTGACACAACGTCATACTACAGATATAAAGCAAATACAAGAAAAACCTACAGTATGTACAATTTTTATTAAAAATGGATTTCTGTATAAGTGTTGCCGGCAAAACTATTCGAGATGAAAGAAGTAAAACCATCAAAAAGCAAACCTGAATATTGATGGACATCTCTTCACAAGCCAGAGCTGAATTCTGGGAGTTTGAAAAACTAAAAAGATCTAAAAATCTGAACAATACAGACTTCATTTAAATACTTCAACAATATGATGACAACACAGCATTTTGTTCTTTAATTGTCAAAATCAAAATCACTGCTGCCCAAAACGTGTAAAAAGACACCACAGATTGTGCACCCAACACTGGAAATGAATTTTTAACAAGCAGGTCGAATGAAGAGACGTGGAGACTCATGCCTGGACCTCTGAATCTGCAGCACCTTCTGGGTCCTCATCGTTGTAGATATTTTCAGCCTGTAGAAGAAACAATTTTAAAGTATATTCACTGTAACTGGTATTCAATGTTAATAAATGCAATTCAAAACTCTCTCTATGCTGTGTCGGATATTTACTGTTGTTTACAGTAAAGTTTACCTCTGACATTCGTGTGACAAACAAAGCTCTTACCATCTGCCAGACTTGCATGATGTTGTCCTCTGATACAGAGCAGATCACCCACGGCTCGTTGGGGTTCCAAGAGAAGTCTGAGATCTTCGCTGTGTGTCCGCCGTGGATAAACTAAAGAGAAACAGAGCAGGAGGGATTACTACAGCACTTTACATTCGATTAACACACAAACACACATACAGGAATCAACAGTAATAGACTTTGTCACAACTGACCAGCAGCTCAGGAGGACCATCCTCAGCATCTTCTGGTGACTGTTCCTCTCCGATCTTGCTGAGGTCCCACACGTTGAGCCTCCTGTCGGTGCCGCTGGAGGCCAGGATGGTTTCATTATGAGGCGACCACTGAACCTGTTGGACAGAGATGGCCCTGGTGTTATATTTCTGTGACAAAGTGCGTCATAAACATAAAACGAAAATACCACAGCCACAATCAACAAGACTAAAACTGGTCTAAGAGTTGACAGACTGCTTCTTGTTGTTTGTTCTGTGAGTATTCCTCTATTTACAATGACTCCTAACAAAGGACAGGTATGTGTGCTTAAAAAGACAAATATGACTCATTGCACATCATAATTAATGAGCTACAGAGCTCCTTCAGTTTTAATTTTTAACTAGTCTTCTGTTTCTTCTTATGATTTCATTGGTCATCTGTAGCTGTAGCGGACATTTACAGCTTAACAGAACAGACAAACTATTGCAGATTAATTTAACTAACCAGCTGACTTCTTACCTGGAATATTTCGTCCTTGTGAGACTCAAATGAGTGCAGCTTCAGTTTCAGGTTCCTCAGGTCCCAAAGAGCCACCGTCTAAAAATAAAAAGTAGTTAGCTTCAACTGATTCAACTCACAGAAAATGAGAGCAGACCCTGCAACATAATATTCTACAGGGAAAGAGTGGACCCACCTTATCTGCTGAGCCAGTGGCCAGGATGAACTCGCTGTAGGGATTGAAGGATAGGCAGTTGACCTCGGCTGTGTGGGCATCCACAGCATGACTGGGCTTGGAAGTGTTGTTGGACCGCGTGTCCCAGCTGTGCCAGAACAGACAAAAGCACCACTGTTAAAAAAGAAAATTGAAACTGAAAAACAACTTTCACTCTCGTGAATCATCACAGTGGTTATTGTGTTCAAGCTGCTCACATCATGAGTTTCTGGTCATCGGCCACAGAGCCAAAGAGTGACTCGTGAAGCAGGTGCCAGGAAACATCCTCCACCACAGCAGTGTGGCCTGTGAAGATGGTCTTGGCATCCACAATCTTTCCCTCTTTGGGCACTGTGCTGATGTCCCACAGGCAGATTGTCTGTAAAAGAGAGCAGAGATGGGTAAGTACATGGTTTAACAACAACAAAACAACAATAATGAAAGAAGAAAAAGATTTAAATACGACTTTCCAAACAAAAAGTTACAAAATACTTTGCAATAACGACGACAGATTACTGACTAGTTAACAGTTTCATTTGTAAATAGTCATAAATCTTTTAATGTCCAACAGCGATAAGACGTAATATGAGTCACAGGAAAACAGGAAGAGAGACAATATCAGAACAAATAATTCAGGTATGTTGCGACATGTTGCTTACATGGTCATCAGAAGCACTGAGGAGGCAGCCGCTGAGGTTCGGGTTCCAGGAGAGACCATAGCCCTCCTTCTGGTGGCCCCTCAAACGCAGGTCTGGGGTGCATTCTCCAGAAGGGTCTTAGATAGTCAACATAAATAAAATCAATGTTACAAAAATGCAGGAACAACACTTGTTGCAGACTTTTAGAAAACGCTTCAGAAAAATGTGTGTTGGCTGTAATCCTAACCAGGTTTAGAAGGGTGCTTTGTGTAATCAAAGACCAGCACGTCGCTGGTGGGGGTCTTGGTGGCAATAATGCAAGGATTCTGAGGCATGTAGCGTGCTCGGTTCACTTCTCCCTCATGGTTGATCTTGATCTCAATCTCTATCTTGCCACTCACAGACCCAAAGCCTCCAAACTCTGAAACAAAGAAACAACAGATAAATAAAATTAAATTAAAACCTACAGTATACTCTAAAACAAAAATACGTACCTACAGTTTGTGAAGCATTACAGATTTCAGCAAGACTTTAACTGTATTCATTCACTGAGAAGAGCTGTGAGCCACAATATATTCAAATACGAGAACTCATTAAAACTGATCACGTTAACGACGTTAATATGACGTCAATGCTTATACTGAAATACCCATCAGTCCATTTATTTTGTGCAGCAAGCGGCTAAACACAACATAAAGTGTTTAGTCTGGATTTTAGCACCGCAAAGCTTCCCATGCACACATTAACCCTCACCTCCTTTCTCACTGTCGTAGTGTGAGGCATCAAACTGGGCATCATCATTTGGGAGCTGAACACTAGCAATTACAAGGTGATTCTGCTCATCAGAAGTGTGTGTCCCCAGAACCAGCCTGTGCACACTGTAGTCTTTCCCTTCTGGCCTGTCAAAATATATATAATTTATTTATTCATAAAGTATAAATTCTGATCCCTCTCTCAGGTCATGTTTTGGTGGATGCCGAGGTGCAGCAGATCTCCCCCTCACCTGGTGACATCGGGCAGCCACTGGGCGGTGAGGCTGGGCCACTCCAGGGCGTGAGTCATGACCAGGTCGTAGAGGAAAGGGGTGTTCTTCTTCCAGATCTTGTACTCCTCGTTGATCACCCTCTCCTCCACAGCATCGTCAAACGCAGCTGCAGGAGTAATATTCACCAGCAACACAAAGCAATATTATTATATATAATATAACGATTGTCAAAACTCATGCAGGCTCTAATTTGTCTAGACTGATCACAGGACATTTGGGTTATACCCCAACCAACCAAATCTTCTCCTGGTCAAACTCATGTTACCACTAAGGTTCACTTTGCTGATGAGCTAACGTTAGTACAGGTTGCTATCGTTAGCAGCAGAAACACAGCCATAAACCAGCCACTGAGGAGGATTCTCAGCCATATGTCACTTCATGTGGGACAGTTAGCTGGCACTCACAAATGAAAAACAGCTAGATGACAGGGGAGATGCTGGCTGACGCGCCAACGAGCACCGGTACGTCCTGACGTTTACTTTCCATCACTGTGGGCAACACACACACACACACATTTAATCAGCTAATTCATAAAAGTGTTCACCCTTACCCTCCTTGTCAGCCATTGTGTCGTAATTAACCCGCTAACACTGGGAAAAAGAACAGCGACTCTTCGGGAAGCGCTGGAGCAGCACGGAGGGTTGCGATGGCGCCAACTCCACAGAACAAAGACTGACCAATCAGCAGGCAGCAAAAAAAAACAACACACAGGAAGTCGTCACAGCAAAACATTACTGCATCCGGAAACCCTGCTCCGACCCGTGTTGTTAGCGACTGTAACGCATGGACGTGGTAAAAAGCAGATTGGACCATCTTTGAAGACGTTGAACAAACATACAGCTATAATGGACGAGCGTCCGTTAGACCTGACACAGGCACAGGAAGCTACCAAGTCTAAATACCCGCCAATCAACAAGAAATATGAATGTGAGTCTTAAAGTTAGCTCGGCTTGTTAGCAGTGATAGAGGCTCTTGTATCTGAAATGTCAGTAACTGTAGCTAACGTTATGTTTAGGTTTCTTTACTTTAAGTGTATGCCACACATATTCATTATCATATCTGCTATTCTTTAGTTGGTCTAACAACAAGCCCTGGCTCATAAATTCACTGTGTCTTTTATTATCACAGATCTGGATCATACAGCAGATGTGCAGTGAGTGTGTTTTTATATGTCTCGGTGAAGTGTTGGTCAGATCTCACCTTCCTCTCTTGTTGAGTTGTCATCGCATATTCACATTTTCTGCCCTGTCTTCCAAGAATCCACTCCTGGGGGGACTCTCTGGAGGAAGCCTTCGAGCAGTGTGCCATGGGCATGTTCGGCTACATGACCGACACAGAGACAGTGGAACCGCTCGACACTGTTGACGTTGAATCAGAGGGTGGGACACTTTGTCTGTTCATACCTGTTTCTGTCATGCTGTTTTCATGCCACTGAAACTTAACTCAATGCATATGTTTTGTCCTTTTTAAAAGGTGATGACATGGAGTCTCTTCTGTTCCACTTCCTAGATGACTGGTTATACAAGTTTAGTGCAGATCTGTTCTTTGTTCCCAGGGTGAGTATGTTGGTCAGTAGAAAGTTAAGGAGTGCTGAACATTTTGTGGTATACAGCGGTTTCCACAGTACACAGACATGCAGGTCAGATGGATTAGATAGTTAACTCGCCATAGGTACGACTATGGGTAACTATCTATCTGTGCTTGTCCTACTATGGACTTCAGATCAGTTCAGATGTTTCCCTGCCCTTTGCCTACTGTATGCTGAGATAGCCTCTAGACAACCGGGGGATTTACATGTGCCAGGGTTGCTTGTTAACTGCTGTGCATAATTTAAATAGCATGTATTAAATGTGTATTTACATTCTTGTTTTAATGGACGGACTATGTAAACATCTTCCTTAGTTTTCCTATGTTATTCTCCTGACACAATTATTCCTTTTTATCTATCCACTAGGAGATCAAAGTTTTGTCAATAGACAGAATGCACTTCAGGATCCGGTCCATTGGGTAAGTTTGTGTACTCTCCAGAGAACCGAGTGCCTCTGTAAAGTTATTAGTACAGTTTGCTCTTATATATAAGAATTTACAATTACTGCAGATTTTTGTTATCTTCTTCTGCTATGTAATCTAGTTTTTCGTCTTAATCTGCGGTATTTTGTCTTTTATTTGATCAAAGTTGGGGTGAAGAATTCTCTCTGGTAAAGCATCCACAGGTAAGATATCACTGGAAGATATATTTATTTAGAAACAAATTCAGTATATAATAAATTGTGGTGTGAAGGTACAGCCGGCTTTACATTATGTTTTTTTATATTATTGAAACGTATTGAAGAATTATGTGAAATAACTAATAAAAAATACATCATTGTAGTTACGTTATGTCCTGTGTTGTTAATCCAGGGGACTGAGGTGAAAGCCATCACATACTCTGCAATGCAGATCCACGATAAAGAGAAACCAGAGATATTTGCCATTATTGATATCTGACAATACCTCCAGACGCAGACTACACTCCAGCTTCAATCAAACTGGAATATCTACATGGCCAATTGAGGTCGCATTTTTATCTAAGGCACTGATTATTGGCTGGACTGTTTACTGACAGGAGCATTCCTTGTGATTAAGTGTACACACAGTACAATGTTAGAGCTGTCTGACAGATTACAGATTAGTGATATAACATTGATATCTTTATAAATTAGATTCTTTCAGAAATCATAAAACCTTACATATAAATTACATCAGGGAATGGCAATGATATGCAGAGAAATTCATTGCATGGAGATCTGTCAACCCAGTTTTACTTAATGCTTTTTAAAATTCTTCTTTTGTATCACAAATGTGATATTGTTTTGATGCCTTATTGATTATTGTAAATAAGTCAACAGATGTTTATTTTTCTTCTGTGGGATTAAATAAATAATTACTGGTACTTGGTAAATCTCACGTATGAATCATTTCAGCAGTAAACAGGAGCTCTAAATTTAGAATTACACAGCAAACATCGTAAAAAATAAAAGTTCAACACAACAATATTCAAAACCATCATACAGTGACTCCTCTCTTTGAATTGTTTAAATCTACCCACAAGGAATGTAAAGTATGCAACAATGTTAATAACACTGGTTGATTTCAGTTAATTTGCTGAGTTCTACTTTTTTAAGAAAGAAAGGCCAAGATAGACTGGCCAGTGTATCCCAGCACAACCTGGGTTTTGAAGGTGCCTTTATGAATCACTACATGAATGTACTACTAATATCGAGTATTAAACCACATACACAAGCCTTGCTGGAGTTTTTTTTTTTTTACCTCAAAGGCAGCCAGAGGAGAACAATAAGACCTGACAAGCATGGAGGACATTCAGTCCGAGCTTGTGATTTTTTAAATATTAACTGAACAATCCCAGACCGTTTTTCAAAGCTGTTGAATAAATCTCCTCAGATAACAGGTTACAATAAATGGAACAGCACATAGGAAGGAGCTTTAGTTTAGCTTTAGTTATCACAATACAGAAAAAATGCCTGCCAAATTCAGGTGTGAACAATGAAATCATAGCTGACAAATGTCACAAACACTGAGACTCAGACTCAGTACTGCTCTACTGCACATGTGCAACGTTGACCTCAGCTTTCATTCCAGGAACACAAAGTTACAAGTCTAGTTTAGTTGAAGTTGAATCAATGGGATATTGAGACATAAAGTAACAAATAGTTGTAATAGTTGTTTCTTGTAGCTTCCCTAAAATATGCTCATTCTGTAAAGTTGCCAAACTAATTTAAAAATAATCACCTATTGTTTCAACTGACCCTCTACAAGGGACACTGATAAAAGTTACACTGTGTTGGAACAATTGGTATGAAGCCACAGCATAATCCACAGACAAATGATCCTCCAACTCATATAAATAAAGCAATACTCAGGGTTGATAGAGGATTCACCTTCCATGGTCTGTTAGTATGAGGCCTGTTTTGGGGATAAGAACCATGATCAGGTAGGGTATACATTTCTCTAATGGAAGGGGGGGTAAAATTCAATACAATAGACACACACACACATACACACACAGTGGTTGTGTGTCTATTGTGTTGTCAGGTAGATGCATGAGGCAAATACATGTTTAATACAGAAAATGAAGAAACAGACTTAGGCACAAGTAATAAATCATTCTTATCATATACCAATGCGATAGTGTTGGATACTATCACTATAACTGTGTATGTTAAGAAAGTGGCACACTTAATCCTGGGAAGAAACTTTATTTGCAAACAATGCCAGGGGACAGACAGAAATCATACATTACTTTAAAAAAATTATACAAGATAAATAAACGTAAACTTTTGATTGCTTTCTTATTTAACAGTATGGTCATAATTTAATATATTGTTTGACTTCACTTTCAAAACTAAAAAAAAGATTGTTTATAATAGGATAATTTTGATTTGTGTATGTGGAATTTTGCAGAAGGATCTAATAAATTGATGATATAATACTGATTTCTTTTGGTAGAGGGGTAGGGGAAAAAAAACAAACACTAAATTCTCATATAAAAGGGAAAAATCAGAAACAATATACTGGGGAATAAAAGCACAAATATCCCAAAAGAACAAGAATGGGGGGCAAGAGCAAAATAAAACAAATAAAATAAATAAAAAATAAATGAAAATAATTTTTTATTGACGGATTAAAGCGATGAATTTGTCCTCATTTAAAATAAGACATTTACCCTTCCCTCCCGTCTCTCTCGGCGGTGACGTCACTGCCTCCCAGCAGCAGCAGCAGCAGCCTCAAATGCAGCTGCGCCATTCCTCCTTTGTCCATTGAAGAGAGCAAGACGACTTGTAACGGAAAGGTACCGGGGGGGCTTAGTAACCTGACCGTTAACGACACAACCGGACACTGCCGTTACCTACGCAGCTGCAGTCTCGAGTCAAGAGAAGCGAAGGAGCCTAGCAACGCGTCGTCCGAGAATCTATCCGCGCTGGTGGATTATAAAAACGAGCGAATGCTAACGACCAAATCTGAGTCCGCCATTGATTCAACCCCAGCGCCGGAGAAAATCAAAATGGAAGACACTAAATACCTCCCGGAGCTCCTGGCTGAAAAGGACAGCTTGGATTCGTCGTTCACGCACGCCATGAAACTTATTTCTGCAGGTAATAACGTGACCCGCTTCTAGTTTGTGGATGCTACCAGAGGCTAGCTGAGGGTAGCAGGGCGCGGGGCCTAGCGCCCACAGCGGCAGACTGAGGCCTGAACAATGGTGCACAGGAACACGTGGTTGGTAGCGATCTGGGGCAAATCGTCTGATTGAAAAATGAGTTACATTTATTACGCAGACCACCTATTCGAGAAGATGTCGTAAATGTTTATTTGTATGCAAGAGTCAGTCTGGTTGAGCCGTTGGTGCGTTTGGGGACGTTAATACCACAGTTCAGTCAATTAACTTCAATAATTATTGTTTTACCAGACGCTTTTAAAATTGCACGTTTAATACACAAATGCAATAAAAGTGTGTTGCATTAGAGGCATTAAAGATACGCAGAGAGATTGGTAGATAAGAATCCCGATAGCGTGATATTCAGTGAGCAGTAGAGCATAAAGAGGCTTTGTTTCCACTGGTGTACGTTCAGAGAGTCACACCAGATAAGATCTGTTTTGGCAAAAATTG